CAAAGTCAACCAGTCTCACCAGTCAAAGTCAACCAATCTCACCCCAGTCAAAGTCAACCAATCTCACCAGTCAAAGTTGCGGGACAGCGATCGAGCCACCTGCAGCTCCCGAGCGCAGAAGAACCACCGAAGACCATCCATTATATTCTCAGGGGTCCTGCGAGAAACGACAGACCACCAAGGGATAGGCAGGGGGGGAGGAACACGGGAAGAGTGGATAGATAAGAGGATTGTTGCTGCGTGGGAGGGCCACGGGTGCAGCTCCCAAGCGCAGAAGAACCACCGGAGCCCGTCCGTTATACTCTCAGGGGTCCTGGGAGAAACGATAGGCCAAGAGGGAGCACGGGAAGAGGGGAGGGGTGCTGAGGGGCTGTTGCTGCGTGGGAGGGCCACCTGCAGCCCCCGAGCACAGAAGAACCACCGGAGACCGTCCATAATACTCTCGGGGGTCCTGCAAACAATATTCAAGGGGTTCAAATAACAACGGACGGAAGCATATAGATGAATTGGACGGAATGGCCGAGGAAAAATTGGGAGTAAAAAACGAACAGGGTTGCTCGTGTCTTGAGAGCAGACAGCGTTGACCCACCCACACTCACACTCACTTCTAACTCACACCCACACTCACTCAGACAGCGTTGCATCTTTTCAAAAGACTTCAGAGCACACTCTCACTTGTAGATCATGTTTAGCAGCGTCTTGGGGATGCAGCGCAGGAAGCCGACGGGGTAAACACCCGCACTGACAGCAGCACACACTCACTAGTACATCGTAGTTGGATTGGCAATCCGATGCTAATAGGCACTCACTTGTAGATCATGTTGAGAAGAGTCTTGGGGATGCAGAGCAGGAAGCAGACAGGGTCCATCAATCCTAGGGCTGCCACTGTGCCAAAGTGCTTGCGCACATACTGCACAAGAATCAAAGGGGGGAGGGGGAGAAGGGATAGGGATCGGGTGAGCAAAGGCAGCAGACGGGCCCATGAGGCCTCGAGCTGCCACTGTGCTTGAAGTGCTTGCGCGCATACTGTAAGGGAGGGGTGGTGGGGGGAGAGAGGAGAAGGGAACAGAGGGAAAGGGGCGGGAGGAGGGGGAGCATAAATAAGGCAGGGAAGGGAACAGACGGGGTCCATGAGGCCTAGAGCTGCTGCTGCTGTGCTGAAGTGCTTGCACACATAGTGCACACGTACTGCATAGAAAGAAAAGGGGTGGGGGTGGGGGGGTTGAGGGTGGAGGGGGGACGGAAAGGTGAGGAAAGCTAGTCGCCACGACATGATCTACCCTCATAAGTGCATGCCTCTCCCCACTAAGCAAATCACCTGGGACCGTGTACCTATCCTCATCATTAACACCCGCCAACACCCACTCGTTATAGTCACCTGCGTGCCACTCGTTATAGTCACCTGCGTGCCATTCGTTATAGTCACCTGAGCAAGGACGAAGGTGCCATAGGAGTGGCCCACAAACGTTGCTCTCTTCAGTCCTTGTGCCTGCAGGGCCTCAGCTAACCCTGCCACCTGCAAAAAACAAACGGACAGAGAAGGTTAAGGAAGGAAAGGGGATAGAGAAAGGGGGCAGGGAAGGGAGGGAGGAACAAAGGAGGGAGAAAAGGCACGACGAACGTGGCTCTCTTCAGGGGATGACAGCACAAGCGCACCGAGAGGAAGCTTATATAGGGGATGGCAAACTCACGATGTCGTCAATGGTTGGTGAGGCGGAGGAGAGGCGGAAGGCTAGATGAGGCATCTCCGCTACAATGAATTTCTGTCGAAATAAAAGGGAGACGGGGGATGGAGATAGTGGGAAGGGCGAAAAGGAGGATACTAGTGCATACTTCCTACTTATAAGGTGATAAACACAAGGTACCATACGACCATCTGGGAAAGTGTACAGATACGTCCCGTTAACACAGGACTGCCATACGCATGCACATAGAATAGATATATAATTATATACACATATATTATAAATATAGATCAGTGCTTACCTTGTTAGGGCATGTCCTGTTCATCAAGCCGATAAACCCGTGGTAAGGCGTGAGACCAATGACCAGCCCAAACACAAACATCACCCCTTCTTTGCCATCCTAGCTACAGTACCATACACATTAAACGATATAACACCAACAGTGTATTTACCTTATTGGGGTACGTCCTCTTCATCATGCCGATAAACCCAAGGTAAGGTGTGAGACCAATGCCCAGCCCGTGCACAAACACCACCCCTCCTCCTCATCCTCGCTGTAATCCACGCTCCCACCAGCCACACTCGAATAAGCAGCGTACGCCATACTCCCACCCTCCCTGCTCCCCCTGCTGCTCCCGCCGCTGCTGCTGCTGCTATCTCTGCTGCTGCTCCTGCCAAAACTGCTGCCGCTGCACCCGAAACCCATATCCCCGCTGCTGCTGCTACTTTCCCTGCTGCAAGTGCCATCCGCGCTAGGAGCTGCCCCGCTTTTAGCGCGGTCAGCATCTGCGCGTGCAGCCGAAAGCGAGTTGATCATAGTAAAAGCGGTTGTAGAGTAAGAGGGGGGCTGGGCTCTCTGACCCAGTACTTAAAGCCATCCGCTGTGAAGTGCTTGCTGAATCCGAGGTAGCGCATAGCGAGGCTCGTGAAGCAGCCAATGAAGTGGCCCCTGAAGGAGGGAGGAGGGGGGGGGGGGGGGGGGGGGGGAGGGGAGGGGAGGGAGGGAGAGAGGGAGGGGAGGGAGGAGGCTCAGGTTGATGGGGGCTGTCTGACCTTGTACTTGAACCCGTCCGCTATGAAGTGCTTGATGGAATCGAGGTAGCGCATAGCGAGGCTAGTGAAGCAGCCTATAAAGTGGCCCCTGTGAGTGGGAGGGGACGGGGGGGGAAGGGAGGGAGGGAAGAGGGTTGAGAGGGGCTGTCTGACCCAGTACTTGAAGCCATCCGCTGTGAAGTGCTTGCTGAATCCGAGGTAGCGCACAGCGAGGCTCGTGAAGCAGCCTATGAAGTGGCCTATGAAGCACCTGGCAACAAACGCACCAGACGTAGAGGATCAAGGGGTGCAGGATGGCGCGGATGGGCTCCCTGCAGTGCGACATGAACTTCACCTCGGGCGTCCGCCGCCTCCTCCCACCCACCCATACTCGCACTCACACACACATACACGCACTCCACGGATCAGACATACCTAACAGTACCTGGCTCCACAAGCACCTGGCAACAAACGTACCAGACGTAGAGGATCAAGGGGTGCAGGATGGCGCGGATGGGCTCCCTGCAGTGCGACATGAACTTGACCTCGGGCTTCCTCGTCCTCCTCGCACCCATCCCCGCACAGCCACCAGCACAACCAGCACCAGCAGCAGCAGCATCCGCAGCAGCATCTGCATCAGCATCTGCACTAGCAGTACCATCGGCTTCCCCCATGGCTGCTCCCGCTCTCTCCTCCTCCTGGCTGCATGGGTAGACAGCAACCTCCCCACTCTCCGACCCTGCATCATCGTCTTCCGCACCTGCTGCCGGACCTGACGCCGGACCTACTGCTGAGGCTGCGGCTGGTTTGGTTGGGTGGACGGCGACGGGTTGATAGGCGGAGAAGGAGGGGCGCGCGGAGGAGGGCGGGGAGGAGGCGGCGGAGGAAGGGGAGCGGGAGGGGGAAGGGGGAGGACCTCGGGGATGAGGCCGATGGCGCGCTCTGTGCGGACCACGTGGTCTGCGGGAGGGGGAAAGGAGGGTAGGTGGGTGGGGGAAGGGGAGATAGCAAGGGGAGAAGGAACCGATGAGTGAGGAGTCTATTTTTGAGGCGCCTAAAAAAAAAGTGGGGGGGGGGGGAGGGAGGGAGATATCAAGGGGGGGAGGGGAGATAGCAAGGGGGGGAGGGGAGATAGCAAGGGGAGAAGGAACCGATGACACGACAGCAAAACGACAGGACGACAGGATCGCAGGTGAATCAGCATAGTCGGTGTTAGAACGAGCCATGACTGATACTCGGTGCTTGAGGAAAGGACGAGAAAGACGAAAAGGACCGAGGGAAGGAATTGTGGGGGGTAGGCTCATGGGGTCGGCATAGAGGGAAGCAAAGGAACTTCATTTTTTAAAAGCAATAATTGCCTGCTAAAAACGCACCTCGAACGGCTTCCTGATATTCGGGAGACAGCTCGTTGTAGAACCTGACAGACAAAAGGCCAAGGGGAAGGAAGGAGGGAAGGGGAGTGGAGAGTGGTGGGGAGAAGTCAGCTCTACGGCCAAATAAAACAACCACGGCTTCCCTGATATTCGGAACTGAGCTCGTTGTAGAACCTGACAGACAAAAGGCCAAGGGGAAGGAGGGAAGGGGAGTGGAGGGGGAGGGGGAAGGGAGGGAGGACACATGAGGTTTTAATTCTCATTAGATGGGAGGGTTGGTTTGAAATGCGCTGAAATGCGGCGCAATGCGATGAAATGCGACGCAATCCGATGAAATCATCACCTGTGATAGAATCCGAAGGAGATAAATTGTCGCACGTGCTCGCGGGTGAGGTCCTTAACACGCGTGCCGAGGAACCAGCCTCCGACGAACTCCTCGTAATCCACATACTTACTGAAAAATACGACGACGGGAAAAACAGGGGAAGCGGGAGGGCGGAGCATGAGGGGAAGGGGAAGTAACGGGGAAATGTGAGTGGGGGCGTCACGTCTGACAGTAATCACGAAGGAACAGATTAACGAAAAAGCGACCTAGGAAATGGACTGGTGAGCCGACAGCCTGAAGCACGGCTGGAGAGTTGCGAAAGCATAGAAGAATGGTCGAACGATGAGAAAAGCAAAGCGATCAATGAATTCCCAAGGTGGAAAAATCGGGGAATGGGGAGACACGGGTAGGGGGAGGGAAAGGGAGACGGGGGAAAATTGGGAAATGGGGGGAGGATCTGGGGGGAAATTGGGGGGCAGAGGTTGGGATTGGGGGGGATGTGGTGAATGTTTTGTAGGGGGAAGCGGGGTTGGGGGTCGGTGGGGGAAAGGGGGAGATTGGAGGAAACCCTAGGTGGGCGGAAAGGGCACGTACGCCAATGAGAGGACATGATCGAGGAGCCGCGATATGTTCTCGATAGCAGGAAGCGGCGGATCGATATAGTTGTCGCTGTACAGGCGGTACTGCTGGTACCGGAAGTATCTGAACACGGCCTGCAGTACATGGAACAAAAAATGTTACGAGTATAATATATATAACGGGTAACATTTAGGGAAAACGAATGAGGGGATGTTGGCGGGTTGAAACCGAGACGGCGTAAGCTGCAATGATTACTCACCTCGACTATGATCCAGATGGGGAACAGCCCCACGAAGATGAGGAAACACGAAAAGCTCGATGTAAAGAGAATCGCTACGAGAACAAAGAACCTGATACACGGAAGACGGGAGAGAGGAATGAGAAGGCAAGAACCAGCGGCCTTAAAACGGGGACGTGGAGACAGTGGTCTAGAGCGAGTGGAAATGGAAAAAGACGGAGCGACAGATGCGGCCACCATTGAACGACGGGTCAGAGAGAAAAGCGAGAGTGATTGACAGGAGCCGTGGGGAATGGAGGAGACGGGAGAGGAAAAATATGGTGTTCCAAACTAGCCAAACTTGGTGTCCCGTCAAGCGCTCCAAGAATATTCTACCCATCCGCCTCTCGCTCAATGCTGTAACACCGCAACTTCTTCCCCCATAACTGCCTTCATTCTCTCCCGCGCTCCCACAATGGCCCGTTTCCCACCCTCTCCTCTCACCGCGCGCCCCCTCCCCGCACACCCCCTCTTCCGCGCAATTCCCCTCCATCACAGCCCCTTCCCCACCATCACCAACCTGTTTCGGGAAACCCCCCCCACTCCCCACCCTCCCCCTACCCCCCTCCCCATCCCCGGTTTTCTCCCTCCGTCTACTCACCACGCGGAAGCGAACCATTTGTCCGCCAGAATTTCCCGGTACGCTTGGCTAGGCGACCGCTCTAGTCGCGCGCCGCTGGTAACCCGCTCGCTCTTCCTCGCCTCTATCTTGATGGAGTCGCACGGCGACGCCACATCCGCGCATGCGACAGTGGTAGGGAGGCAGAGCTCGGGAATTGGGATGGACGGTATACACGCTGCAGGCGACCAGGGGCTGCTGTTTGGCGGCATCTTGACGCGAGGCACTCAATAACGAGTACAGGCCGTCAAAGCAAAGAAACCGGCCGGCAAATATGACGTTGACCGTCTGAGTGGACGCTGACCGGCAGAAAGAATGAAAGAATGGAACGTTCGAACCGCTGTGGGCTTGTCAACCCGGAGCTTGTCAACCCGGTCAACGCAATACAGGCCCGGTTAACTACGTCTGGAGCAGTCTTGCGACGGTGCGGTCCCACGAAGCGCAGCAGATGCAAAGCGCCTCAAAGGCGGCGGTGAGAGGAACCGTTTGAGGCGTCTCAAAGGCGCACGCGGCGCACGAGCTACACGAATGTGACTCTACGGGATGAGTAAGAAACAGCCACTATGGCGAGACGGCGGTGTTGCAGCGGCAGAGGAACAGCTTGGGCCGTTGGAAAGCGAGGCGTTTCTTTGGCTGCGAGGAATGCGCAATGCGAAGCTACTCAGTGCACCTCAATGGCTGGTGTCACGGACTCCAAGGCCCCTCCAAGGCACTCCAAGGCGTTCCAAGAAGCACTTCTACGGATAGTTATCGTCCCCTCTACGGCTTGTGGTGCGCACGTTGCGATGAAAGCGGATGAGTCTGACTCGTAGCCACCCACGGCTGGCTAGGAGATGAGTGAGAAACCCAACAGACGATGGCAGTGGCGATAGGAGACGGCGAATACAAGGGGTGGGTATGGTGGAGATAGGAGGTGGGGTGAGGGAGGACTGGGTGAGGGCGCGACGTGCGCCGAGGGAGTAGGTGCGATGAAACGACGGCGCTATCTAAAATATGGACGACGACGTGCCGTGGCCGTGGGGGTGGGGCAAGGGGCAAGGGGCATTTGATAGGCCAAGAAAGGCCGTGGCTCTTTTCCGACGATAGGCGAACGGGGGCTATTTTGATGTGGCCTGACAAGCAGCAGCTCTAGTGCCGTGAATTATGGAGACCTGTCGAAATTCGTGTGGGTGAGTGAGAGGTGAAGACGCCCACCTCAGCAGCAGCCGGAAAGCTAGGAACGTGCGGCGAATCAGAGGGTTTTGGCTCGGTTAAAAACGGTTGAGAAGTATGAATGTGCGGGTTTGGTGAACTGTAGTTTGTTCGTCCTAGTTTGTTTGCCCTAGCCTTTTTATTCTCGGCTCGTCAATGCCGAAAACAGCAGAGCGGGCTCGTCACTCAACTGTTTTTTTCGTCGCGTTTCAAAATTCTAGGTTTTCGTGGCGCTGGGTATGATGGCCGTGCGATGTTTTTTGTCGCAGAGGATCGATGGACAGGATGTCGAAAACAACAATTCCGCGGACGGCGGGATGGCCGCGAAAGCGCGTGCGAATGGACGACCGAACCACTAGGCGAAGGTTTCGTGATGGTTGGGTTGTACACTCTGGCGTGCTTGACATGGGTTTGCGACCGTGCGACATTGAGTACTTTTCGCAAAAGTAGCGGCGGCGTGGGTGATGTCGCACTCAGGAACACGACAGCCAGCTTGAAGGGCGGCTCCCAGGCGCCACAAAGATGTGGCCTGGTCGCTGTTGTGAGCAAGAGTTGCTTCAAAATTTCTCATCGTGCCCGGAGGTATCGGAGGGCATTCACTGCGCTGTAGAAAGCCAGTGCCATACCAACCACCCTGCTTCGGAACAAGGGGCATGGCAAAAGGCATCATTTTTCTTGAGTTCCTAGGCCTGGAGGCCAACGGGCAGCTCAAACCCAAGCCTTTTCCAGCGCTGGCGGAGAACGCGGAGAAACCGTGGGACGTGGGGGAACGACGCGCTTCGACTTCCCGCGCAGGAGCCCTGCCCACTGAGTCAGACACTACGTGGCGGAGGCACGACCTCACCAGAGGCGCAGCTGCGCCAAGAGCACACTGCCACGTCACCCTAATTAGCTGGGAAGGATGAGCAGCTATTGGATACCCGGCCTACTATCAACCTAGCTTTTCAAGATCACGCGTTGACTTTCATATGTGACCATATCAGCCAAATCACACCGAATCTCGTTTACGGAACATATATGGCAGTGTAGATAATGGCCTTACAAGATAGGTACCCTCTTAGAATGAGAGAATGCATACAAGCTTTTACAAACACGAGGAACTTCGCCCACATAGGCATGCACCCACCCCTGGAAGGGAAATGAGACGATTACATTGGTGTTTATACATATGAATACCAATGTCTATCTTAGCAATACTAGTGTAGTGTCTATCTTTGGTGAGGAGAACTCTACCTTATCGTTATGAATTGTTCTAGGGCACTTGCCTTCAGCTTTCTGCTTCCAAACCGTTTCCCGTTTTATTGAGGTACACACGAATCCGCAAGGTTTTTCCATACCGCGTATGAAGGGGAAATACACCCCGCATAAAATATCTCCACATGTCTACCTGTGTCTTATTTGGGGCTCGTTTTAGGATTGGCTTTACATCCCTGCAGACCTCTGTGCTTCCCCGCTTCTCCCCGCCTCCCAACTTGCGTCCGTATAATCGTATCCTCGTGGCGCCGTAGTCCCGCTGCAAGTAACCCTGCGTGCGCGTTATCTCGCCAATGGCGAATCCGTTGTTCGCCGGCCAGTGGCCCACCACTCCCGAAGGCGACGAGGTGAGTCGCTCGCACTCACTCGTCTTCCCGATCTCCTCTCATCGCTACGACCGGCCGTCTTAAATCGGTCCTGCTCGGTCCTGATCGGTTCTGTTAGCTCGCCAACTAACATAAGCTCCTTCTCGCTGCTCTTTCCCAATGAGTGAGGACCCCCGGGACCTCACTTACGTGGATATGGCGCGACATGTCGGTCCTGATCGGTCCTGACCGGTTCTGACCCCCGGGGACCTCACTTACGTGGATCTGACGCCACAGGTCGCAGCAATTGCGCCGAATGTTCTTTTTTATCCGTCTCTCGCCGTGGTCATCCCTCTCCCTCTCTCACGAAACTTTAGTAACATTGTCGCCCTTTTTCGCGAGCCAGATTCGAACGATATACGTGACCGGTTTCCCCCAGACGCCAAGGAGCGCGAGGTGCAGAACATGCTGCGCTAGTGGCCGGGCTGCGAGGCCTGCCAGCTCACCTCACTCCCTCTCCCCCTCTCCCCCTCTCCCCCTCTCCCCCCCCCCCCCTCTCTCCCCCTTTCCCACGTTCTTTGTCGAAACATTTGTAACATGTTCGCCCGTTTCGCGAGCCAGATTCGCACCATATTTGTAACCGGGTTTCTGACGGACGCGAAGGAGCGCGAGGTGCCGAACATGCTGCGCTGGTGGCCGGGCTACGAGGCCTGCCAGCTCACCTCACTCCCCTCCCCCTCTCCCCCTCTCCCACCTCTCCGCCCTCTCCTCCCTCTCTCACTGCCTCTGGCGGAACATTTATAATTTCGCGAGCCAGATTCGCACGATTTTTGTAACCGGGTTCCCCCCAGACGCGAAGGAGCGCGAGGTGCAGAACATGCTGCGCTGGTGGCCGGGCTACGAGGCCTGCCAGCTGACTTTCAAGGGCGACCAGCCGTTAGGGTTCGCCATCTTCAGCACACCGGCCATGGCGTTCGCTGCTCGAGACGCCTTGCAGGTGCAAGATGGGAGGCGGGGAGAGGGGAGATATGGTATAGTCTAGGGAAGGTGGAGAGAGGGGGTGGGAGGGAGGGGGGAATAGGGCGGCTTTTGAGTCGACTCAAGTCATCTGATTGGCGGGGGGAGGGAGGAGGTATGGTCTAGGGAAGGTGGAGAGAGGGGGTGGAAATAGGGTGGCCGGGCTACGAGGCCTGCCAGCTCACCTTCAAGGGCGATCAGCCGCTGGGATTCGCTATATTCAGCACTCCGGCGATGGCGTTCGCTGCTCGAGATGCGCTGCAGGTGAGTAAGGAGAGGTGGGGAGAAGGGAGGTATGGTCGAGAGGAGGTGGGGAGAGGAGGTGGGGAGAGGAGGCTGCCTGATTACCCTTCGTCTTTTTCTGTATGTGCGCCCTACTCTCTCTCTCCCCCCCAGGGCCTCATATTCGACGTGGACCACAACTCCGTGCTGCGGGCACAGCTGCTTCTGCCGCGCCATGTCATCTCTTTGCTTCTCTGTCTGTCTGTGTGTGTCTATGCGTCCCTCTCTCTCCCCCCCAGGGCCTCATATTCGACGTGGACCACAATTCCGTGCTGCGAGCAGAGTTGGCCAAGACCAACCTTCACAGAAGGAAGGGTGAGTGAGTGTTGTTGGAGTGGGAGTGTTGTTGGTTGGAGTGGGAGAGCGCATGTCAGGGGAACAGTAATCGAGTCGACCAAAGAAACGCACAGCTGGCCAATACCAACCTGCACAGAAGGAAGGGTGGGTGGGTGTCACATGCGAGTGTAAGTAAATAAGCTTGATAGAAACAAACGTTTGTAGTCATTCAATGGGTCGGTGGTTTCAGTGTGGCCGTATGGTGCTTTGCTATTCTTTACCAATCGTCACTCTCTCTTCCCCCTTTCCTCTCTTTTTCTCTTACCTCCAACTCGTTCTCTTCCTCCCTTCCCTCTCCCTCCCCCCTTCCCCCACCCCCCACTTACCTCCGTCTCCTTTCCCTTCTCCATGCAGGTTTTCCTGGGGGAGGCGATGGCTACGACCACTCCAAGCGCGCATGGGTGGACTGCCACTGCTCCTTCCTCTCTTTCACATGCCATACTCTCTCCCTCGCCTTCCTCTCCTCGGCCCACCTGCAGGTTTTCCTGGGGGAGGCGATGGCTACGACCACTCCAAGCGCGCGCGGGTGGACACCATGGCATCCTTTATGCCCGGCTCTGCTGCCGCTGCTATGGGCAGGTGAGGCCGAGGGGGGGGGCCGAGATGGGCTGATGAGGGCGAGAGGGGAGGGGAGGGGGTGGGGAGGATGAGGGATGGGAGGGAGTCAAGAGACCACTCCAAGCGCGCGCGGGTGGACTGGACCCCATGGCGTCCTTTATGCCGGGCTCTGCTGCTGCTGCTATGGGCAGGTGAGGAGAGGAGGGAGGGGGCAGGGAGGATTGGGAAAGGGGAAGGGAAGGGGTGTGAGCAAGTGAGTGAGACTACTCTCCAGGCGTGCGAAGGTGGGTTGCATGGGGCTCTGCTGCTGCTGCTGCCATGGGTAGGTGAGGAGCGGGGTGGGTTAAGGGATGGGGGGAGGATTGGGATGGGGGAATGGAAGGGTGAGAGCAGGTGAGTGAGACCAGTCCAAGCATGCGAGGGTGGACTCTGTAGAATCGTTTCTGCCGGGCTCTGCTGCTGCTATGGGCAGGTGGGAGAGAAGGGAGGGGAGTGGAGTGAGGGAGAAGGGAGGGGCGTGAAAGAAGGGGGGGTAGTGAGAGAGAAGGGAATGGAGGGAGCGAGGGCTCTGTGTGTGTATGAGGTGTGGGGGGGGGGGGGGGGGAGGGGGGGGGTCACAATGAAATGGTTTTACTACTGCTGGGGTGGCGCATATCTATTCCTTGCAAGGGAAGGGGTTGGGGGGGAGATTTTAATGAGAAGGGGGCAAGTGCTGCCACTGCAGTGGTCCCCCTATTCCCCCTCTCCCCCTCTTCCCCCTCTCACCCCTTTCCCCCCTTTCCCCCTCCCCTCGGCCCCCCCTCCCCCCTTCACTTCACAGCTTCATGCCTGCAGCATACGACGCCTTAGCCTCTTCGTTCGCCTCCCTCCCTGCTGCCGTTGTTGCTCCTTGGCCCCCTCTCAACCCCCTCTCAACCCCCTCTCAACCCCCTCCCACCCCCCTCTCAACCCCCTCCCACCCCCCTCTCAACCCCCTCTCAACCCCCTCTCAACCCCCTCTCAACCCCCTCTCAACCCCCTCCCACCCCCTCTCAACCCCCTCCCACCCCCCTCTCAACCCCCTCTCAACCCCATCGCACCCCCTCTTTCTTCCCCCCACCCCCCAGCTTCGTCCCTGCAGCATGTGACGCCTATGCCTCCTCGTTCGCCTCCCTCCCATCTGCTGCTGTTGATCCGTGCCCCTACGCCTCTCTTTCTGCCTCTTCTCCCTCTCCTCTCTCCCCCACCACCCCTCTCCTCCCCCCCCCCCCCAGCTTCATGCCTGCAGCATACGACGCCTATGCCTCCTCGTTCGCCTCCCTCCCTGCAGCCGCCCCTGCTGCTCCCGCGTCTGCTCCCAAGCAGTACTCCACCCACTCCGGACCCCCGCCAGGCAAGGTAGGGAACACTTCCTGCACCATACCTCACTGCTCCACACCTCACTGCACCATACCTCACTGCAACACACCTCACTGCAAGGTAGGGCTACAGGCGAGGCAGGCAAGGAAGGGCTACAGGCGAGGCAGGCAAGGTAGGGCTACAGGTGAGGCAGGCAAGGTAGGGCTACAGGCGAGGCAGGCAAGGTAGGGCTACAGGCGAGGCAGGCAAGGTAGGGCTACAGGCGAGGCAGGCACGGTACGGCTACAGGCAAGGCAGGCAAGGTAGGGCTATAGGCGAGGCAGGCAAGGTAGGGCTACAGGCGAGGCAGGCTAGGTAGGGCTACAGGTGAGGCAGGCAAGGTAGGGCTACAGGCGAGGCAGGCAAGGTAGGGCTACAGTCGAGGCAGGCAAGGTAGGGCTACAGGCGAGGCAGGCAAGGTAGGGCTACAGCCTGCAGGCCAGGCAGGCAAGCTATATGAAACATGGAATTTTACCTTTAAATGCACTCCACCCATCCACCTATTTTTCACCGCCACCGGCCCATCGGGATGTGAAGGCTGGTTATGGTACCTGCAGTAGCACATCATAGCACGTCAAAGTACACCACAGCACAGCACACCACCACACCACACTGCACCACACCACAATAGACCCTACCTAACCCCTCCATCAGGTGTGCTGGAACAAACCCCCCTGCAACACTACCTTGGCAACCTGGGCTTGGGAACGAGAGTTTTACCGCTCTATACCGCACCAAACCGCACCTCATCCCATCAAGTGCAGCGGGATAACCCCCCGTGCAACACCCTCTACCTCGGAAACCTGGGCTTGGGAGTGAGGGTCTTACTACAAGGACAATTACACTACCATACTATACCGCACTAAACCCCACCCCATCCACATCAGGTGTACCGGGACAACCCTCCCTGCAACACCCTGTATCTCGGCAACCTGGGCTTGGGAGTGAGCGAAGCGGAGCTGATGCAGATATTCAGCGTGTGAGTGCCTTGTATACTTGCATAGTAGCTTGATTCTGGCTTCTAGTTTAGACCACAGGTTTCTGGGTTTAATTTCTCTCGTAGCTTGATCGGTCCCCTATGAAAAAGTGCCGGAACCGATCGGTTCTCTTTGAAAAGGTTCCAAAGAACTGATTGGTTCCCTTAAAAAAAGTGCCAGAGAACCGATCGTTTCCCTTTGAAAAAGTGTCGGAGAACCGATCGATTTCCTTTGAAAAAGTGCAGGAGAACCGATCGGTTTCCTTTCAAAGTGCCGGAGAACCGATCGGTTCCCTTTGAAAGTGCCGGAGCACTGAACGGTTCCCTTTGAGAAAGTGCCGGAGAACTGATCAGTTCCACTTGAAAAAGTGCCGTAGAACTTATCGGTTCCCTTTGAAAAAGTGACGGATAACCCTTGACAAGGGTAATCCCGAGCTTGCTATAGATATTCAAGCGTATCTTTTATTCTTGCAGAGCATGGGCTTAGTGGATTCATTCAAGGTGGTGCAGGAGGAAGAACTCATCTACTACGGGATTTTTCGTCGTCGGTTCCCGCTTGCTCGTGCTTTCAGCATGCTGGTGCAGGTGAAAGCAGCACTTAAAGTGCGTCGGAAAATTTATTACACGATGATGTTCATTCAAGGCGGCGTATGGTTTATTCGTGTAATAAACAACATCTTTCCCATCGTCACGTAGATGAGTTCTTCTCCCTGGGCTGTCTTCACGTAAATGGATTCATGAAAGCCAGGGATCTACAGGGACAGAAGGTATGCTTGAATATCTATAGCGTAGTTGGGCTTACTCTTGACTAGGTTGAGCATTGTCCTTCAGAGTTTTGACTTGGTCGAGTCGAGTCCCGATCAATCAACACTGCCAACCTTGGTGACTGTAACATGGCCTGAGAGTCGACTCATTCAATATTCGCCTCGCAATCATTGTGCCTTGTTTCTTCTCCCTCTGGCCTCTCATCCTCGTAACAGACAGCCTGGCTATGTGCAGCTGAAGCTTCTTCGACAGGGAATGAGCACTTGCTGCTTCGTGCAGTTTGTTGTGAGTGTATTCTCGTAACTTCCCCCTAGATTCTTGGAGGTATTTATGTTCGACTACACGTTTTCCTCTTCTCTAGCCCCTTCTGTACACATTCCCATGTTGTTTCTTTTTTCTTTCGTATGTTCGTCCGCATATTGTTTCCCTCTATAAGGGGGAGGGGTCAGCACCAGAAGTGGAAGTAGCACTCCATTTTTTAGGCGCTCAAGATCCATGCGTGAGGAGTCTATTTTTGAGGCGCCTCAAAAATAGTGAGCACCGGCAGGCCAAGCAGCACTCCAGGGCATCACTCTAGCATCCTCTTCGCTTCTCCTCGCTTGCATACACTCCTCCCCCCCTCTCCCCCCCCTCTGCCAGGACGTGGAGGCAGCACCAGCACGCCAAGTAGCACTCCAGAGCATTACTCTAGCATCCACCGACCGAGGCTGTGTCCTGCCTCTCCCCTCTGTCCCCTCTCCCACCCCTTCTCCTCCCTTTCTCCTCGCACTCATACTCTCTTCCCTCCCTTCCCCCCTCCCTCTCCTCCCCCTCTGCCAGGACGTGGAGGCAGCGCCAGCGGCGCACGTAGTGTGGCATGGCATCTCTCTATCCTTCATCTCCTCATATACCCCCCCCCCCCTCTCCTCCCCTCTCTCCCCTCTCCCCCCCTCTCTGCCAGGACGTGGAGGCAGCGTCAGCAGTGCACGTCGCGCTGCAAGGCATCACTCTAGCGTCCTCTGACCGAGGGCCTGTGCGAGTGCAATATCCTCCTCAATGCGCCTATGCGCCCTGAATGCCTCAATGCCTCTCTGCCTCTCTGCCTCCATGCTTCTAGGCTCTTGTGCCTTTTCCTCTAGCTTTCTCTGTCACTTCTAGCTCGTTGTTTCCCAATTAGGAAGTTCCCCGTCCTCCTCCCCGCTCTCGCTCTCACTCTGGCGTCCTCTCACCGAGGGCCTGTGCGCGTTTAACACCCTCCTCAAGGCGCCTCTCTGCCCTTGCGCCTCTCTACCCTTGCGCCCTACATGCTTACACGCCACACCTTCATTGCTGTCTACCCATCTGTTTCCCACCCGTCTGCCCTTGTGCACGCCATACCTGCCCTGCCGTCTGTTTTCCCTGATCAATATTCTCGCATCACGTTTCGTTTCTTTTGCTCTCTGTCCTGCCTTCCATCCATATTCCTTCTGATGCACATACTCTCACTTAACTCATGTTTTTCTTGCCGTTTACTTTACGTCCGGCAACCATAACGAAACCTTTCAAAATTTTATGTTTTTTTTCTGCCACTGACTGTTCCGCCGTATTCGTCAGATCGACAAGTTGTTGATCCTCCTCTCCTTTATCTGTCCTTCACTCGTTCAAGCACACAGCTTTCCTTGACCCCTCCCCCCCCCACCACTTCTCCCGTCCTCTCCCGCTCCCCTTCTCTCCCCCTCTCTCCCCCTCTCTCCCCCCCCCCTCCCCCTCTCCCATCCTCTCCCGCTCCCCCTCTCTCCCCCTCTCTCCCCCTCTCTCCCCCTCTCTCCCCCTCTCTCCCCCTCTCTCCCCCTCTCTCCCCCTCTCTCCCCCTCTCCCCCCCTCTCCTTCTCCCTCCCGTCCGCCCTTCCCTGCTCCCCTCTCCCTCTCTATCCTCATTTCCTTCTCCTTTTCCTAATCCGCCCTAGCACGTTCTCTCGCACCCCTCTCGGGCAGAAGGGTCACAGGGCCATGGACCGAGAAGCGAGAGACCCAGCAGCAGGAGGGACAGAGCCACCGCCTGCTGGGACCGATGGGGGGGAGGTTGGTGTGTAGGGGAATTTAGGGGGAGGGGCTTGCTTGGCATGTAGTGCTGGTGTGGGACAGAATGGGCACAGGGCGATGGAGGGGGGATCAAGGGACCCAGCAGCAGCAGGAGCGGGGGTAGGGGTAGAGTCTCCACCAGCAAGCAGCAGCAGAGGACGAGAGGGCGGATAGGAAGGAAGGAGAGAGGGTTTGTGGTTGCTGCTGGAGTGTGCACTGGCGCGGGGGCGTTGTGAATGCTCCTGGTCCTGGGCTGTATTGTGACGGTGCTCCTACTGCTGTGGCGTGTGGGAGGAGCATAGTCTTCTTGGCCCGGACAGCCGAAAGAAGCAGTGTCCTTGGCGCGAGTGGTGGCAAGGAGGCGCACCTTCCTTGCTCCTCCCGGCTGTGTTGTTTGGCTTACGCGCTGCCTCCCCTAGGTAAAGTGGTCCTCCTCCCATTGTGCGCCTAGCGATATAGCTTTGCCTTTGCCACTGGCACTGCTGCACTTCGCACTGCAGTGCACTAGGCATGTAGGCGTTTTTTTTAGAATTCTTAAAAAACACCCAGCTGTAGCTTTGTCTTTGCCACAGCTCCTCTGCGCTCTGCACTGTGCTAGGCATGCCATGCACTTGGTTTGACCAGCTGCGCACTAGCTCTCTCTAGCTGTTACCGTCACTGCAAAAGCTGTTACACAAACAGACTTGCACGTTACGCAGGCGCGCTTGCGTTGCAAGAGTGGGATGCTTTACACACTTGGCCAATGGATGCGGCATGCACTAGTATAGTGGAGTGCCCTGGATTGTGTTGAGAGAGGAAGCACCAGTGGGGGACTGTTGAAAGAGAAGACCATGTGAGAAGCACAGGGCATGTGAAAGCACCTGAAACCACCCGAAAGCACTTGAAAGCACCTGAAACCACCTGAACGCACATGAAAGCACCTGAAAGGACCAGGTGCAACACCAGCACCAGCCCCAGCACCAGCGCCCCCGTACCAACACCAGCACCATCACATGCAACACCAGCAACACCAGCAGCAGCAACACAAGCAACACCCACACTACAGGCACCAGCACCCGTATCAACACCAGCGCAACCACCAGCACCACCAGCACCACCACCCAGCACCACCAGCACCACCACCAGTGCAGAAGCAGCGTCAACACGAGCACTGGCAGCAGCACCTGCGAGCACCACTACCACCACCATTACCACCACCATTACCACTACCACCAACGCCACCCCTACCACCAAACACTATCACCACCCCAAGCAACACCACAAGCAACACCAGCAATACCACCAGCAACACCACCAGCGTCACCACCACCATCACCCGGTACCACCAGTGCAGAAGCAGTGTCAACAGTAGCACTGGCACCAGCACCTGCGAGCACCACTACCACCCGCGAAAGTGACACCAGCACCATGTGCACCACAACCCGTATCACCACCACCTGTAGCATCAGCACCCAACACCAGCTCCAGCATTACCACCGCACCAGTATCAGCAGAGGCACCAAAGCACCACCATCCCCGCCGCCGCCTTCAACGCCACCAGCTATACCAGCACTGGTTGGCAACACTAGCTGCGCCAGTCAGAGCTCCACCGCCATACATCCCTTATCAAACTTCCCAAGCATGTGTTCTGTCTACTCCCCACCCCCCACCCCCCCCCCCCCCCCCCCTGCCCCCTTCAGCATGCCTCAATCCAAGCCTTCGAGCTATATGGTGCGGCATCACGCATAGAGAAAGCCGTAAAGAAAGCACAGAACCTGGATTTCCCACCCACCCCTTCACGTTGGCATTGTCGAGTGACCCGGTGGGGTTACCCTTGAGAAGATCCTCGGGGATGGGCCAGAGGTGCAAAGCCTGGGGGGCTATGGGCACACTTGTCAAACATATTTGTGTATGTTTAGTAGACAACATAGGGTCTTGCTATAGAGAGTCCAACCCACTAGCTATATACCCCTGTATACTCTCATTCTAGTCAACGCTTCTAACTCTGAGATGGTATCAGGTTAGGTTGCCCCCCACCCACCCGCGTTTCCGCCTTAGGTCCTAGCCTGCCCCGTCGCCTAGCGCCTAGCCGCCCCACGGGCCCCACTGCCCCGTTGCCTTGCTGGCCCCACGGCCCCGTCACCTAGCTCCTAGACGCCCATGGCCCCGTCGCCCCTTCATCCAACGCCTGCTCGCACCACTGGCCCCGCGGCCCCGTCACCTAGCGCCCAGCTGGCCGTGGCCCTGTCGCCCCGTCGCCCAGTGCCTAGCCGCCCTGCTGGCCCCGCAGCCGCGTCGCCCCTAGCGTAGCCGCCCTGCCACCCCGTCGCCTAGCCGCCCCGTTGCCTACCCGCCCCGTCGCCTAGCCCCCCCGTGGCCCCGTAGCCCAGCCGCCCCGCGGCCTCGTCGTCCAGTCGCCCCTCGGCCCTGTCGCCCCGCTGCTCCGCGGCCCCGTCGCCCAGCCGCCCCGCGGCCCCCGTCTCCCAGCGGCTCCGCGGCCCCGTCGCCCAGCCGCCCAGCAACCCGTCGCCCCGCTGCTCCGCGGCCCCGTCGCCCAGCCGCCCCGAGGCCCCGTCGCCCGGCTGCCCCGCGGCTCCGTCTCCCAGCGGCTCTGCCGCCGTGTTTCCCGGTCACCACCCGCGTCACGAGCCCTCTCCATCGTCCTGCACCGCGCCCCACCGTGCTGCACTGCTCAAAACCGCACTGCACCGCGCCCCACCTTACTGCACCGCATTGCACCGCGCCCCACCACACCGCACAGCTCTGCATCGTGTGGCAACGAACTGCACGGCGCCCCACCGCACACCACCACATTGCACCGTATAGCACTCCTCCCCATTGCTCCTCGTCGCTCCTTCAACGCCTGTTCGCGGCTGCAGCGGCCTTCATGTCGGACTCGGTGCTGCGCTTTGACGCAGAGGGTCAGCCGGTTGAGTTCGACTCATGGCTCGTCGACCTCCGCCGTCACCTCAGTGGTCAGCGGCAAGACGGCCACTCCCTGGCCGTCCACATTGATGGTACGCTCCCCTGCCCTGACCCCCTTGTTGCTCTCCCCGCTAACCCCACGTCTGCTGACCGTGAGTCTGCCGCCGCTGCTGCCCTTGTCCGTGCTGTCTGGCTGTCGCGTGACGCTGTCACACAGCTCGCGATTAGCCATGCCCTCCCCCTGTCTGAGCGCCCCTGCTTTAAGTCGGTTAGGACTGCGCACAATTTCCTAGAGGCTGTTGTCGAGCGTTATTCCACCCCGTCCTCTGTCTCTGCCGGCCGCTTGATCCTTCCCATGCTCTTCCCTGATCTCGCGTCTTTCCCCACTGTCGCTGACCTGGCCACGCACCTGCGACCAGCAGCAGGTGCCACATCTCGACCAGCAGCAGCAGCAGCAGCAGTCACAGCGAAGGGTCGGCCGCCTCACGCCTGGGTGGCCTGGCGCTGGTGGTGGTGGTGGTGGTCGCGGTGGTCGTGCGCGTAGCTCGTCGTCGGGTGGTGGCGCGAGTGACGGGCGCTGCCAGTACCAGCTCCAGACCGGTCCTCGCCGCGGCCTCGTGTGCGGTAAGACTGGTCATACCCCTACTCGCTTTTTTAGTTGCCCTTCAAGGGCCGGCTTTGCCATGCCCCCTTCCTCGGTCGCCCTTGTTCCCCCCCCTCCCCGCCCTGCCCCGTCTGGTGTGTCTCACGTCACCCCCCTCCTGTCGGTTGTCCCTGCCGAGGGGTCTGCTGACTCTCCCGGCGCCGCAGAGTCCCTTTCCCCGCCTGTCCCCGCCCCGGTCTCTCCTCCTTTGTCGCCGCCGTTGCTGTCACAGCCGCAGCCGCATCCGCATCTGCCGTTGCCGCCGTAGCAGCAGCCGCCATCGTCACCGCCGCTGGGGTTTGTGCCTTCTGGGGGTGCTGGGGAGCGTGCCGGAGCGGGTACTGGAGCGGGTTCCCGTTCTGGGGGTGCTGGTGTGGGGCTTCACGGAGGGAGCCGTGGTCCTAATGGAGGTTCAGGTGTTGGCGTCGGGCAGCAGTCGTCGCAGTCGCCGCCGGTGTCCGCTCTTAGCTTCCTCGGCCTTCCTTCTCCTGACCGCTCGCCGGTGCCTCCTCAGTCGCCGCCGCCTCCTCCTCTGCCAGTCTACAGCCCTGTGTTTCCTCTCATGGACTCTTCTCCGGCTCGTTTCCCTCCTCGTTCTCCTCCTGTGCCTCCTCCCCTCTCTCCTGACCCGACTCCTTCGTCTCACGTCTGGGCTCGTCGTCCGTCTCATGCTCGTCCTACCTCCCCTGTTTCTTGTTCTCTCCCTATGTTGCTTCGCTCTCACGCGTCTCGTGCTCCTCCGCTCCTCCTGTCTCCTCCTCCGTCATCGCTCGCTGTGGCTCTGCCTCCGTTTTCTGACTTTCTCGTGCCGCGCGTCCCCTTGTTCCTCGTGTCCTTGCCTCTCTCGTTACCGACCCGTCTGTCCCTCTCTCGAAACTTGAGGCTCTAGGCGATGCTCTCGCTAACTTCGCCGCTACCTGCCACCTTGACTACGCCACCGCTCAGGTCTCTGACCCTGCCTGCCCTCCGCCCGTCGAGGGTGTGGCTGCCCTTGGCAGTGACGTCCTAGAGGACAGACAGTACGAGCTTGCTTTCCTGTCAAAGGCCGCTCCCCATCTCTGTTCCATGCTGCTAGTCCCTGAGGGTAACCCAGACGCCCTTGAC